AACGTTGCGCTCTGCATTTGTTGATCCGGGCGATAAAAGAATAATGGCCCCACTCCCGCCGGGTCCATCCGAACAATGTCTGTCGGAGGAAGTTGAATTGTCCCGGGCCGGGCCGTCGTGGGTTTCCGGCGGAAGGTCGGGTGGAGTGTGGAGGACGTGAGGAAGGAGCGATCGGATGACGCTTGCTGCACGCACTGTCCAGAGGCAAACAGTCCCAACAGGATCGTTCGGGCTCGTCACGCATTACCAACGTCACGCAACATCACTTTGACATCGCAGGTCCCGCGGGAGCCATTCCGAACATCTTTTCGATATCTATCGGTGCAGCTTGAGGTCATCGGGGGAATGATACAGCCATCGTCATCGAGTCCGCAGTGGTCCGATGGCCAAGGAGAGTACGGAATTACGATTCGCCAGCAACGTAGAGACCCGTCAAGGAAACACCCATCAATCTTCGGCTGCGTCGATTGACGAATATCTACTGGCCATCTCATCGTCAGTCACAACTACTCGAAAAGTGCTGGCCCACGAGGTATCCCTCGGGTAAGCCCAGCAGCTTCATCAATTTCGCCAAGTCGATCTCGGCGAGACATCGTGGGAGACCTCACAGCTGGCAGCATGATGGTATGTCAATGCCATCAGTCGATGTCAAAGATATGCCGCCCTGTCGTGATACCTGTTGACGGACCGCAGCTCGCTGTCCGCGCAGACCCTCCGAATCCTGCGACCGTCAGCTGGTCGGCTCAGTTTCCACCACATCAGGACACCGCAGTCAAATGCGCTGCGCAACGTTGCGTGTGCGAAGAAGAGCACTGCCATGCCATTCGCCACCAATGTTCAAAACTCATGGCGAACGCATCAACTTAAGTAGAGCAGACGTGAGCTCGATGCCAGGGGTCGACCAACAGGCAGCCGTTTAGGAGAATATCGTGCGGCTAAAATGACAGCAGGATGGATTTCGCCTTACCCGCCACCCCGTTCAACCTCATTCTTGGGACTAGAGACCGGTTTGCCGGGGCGCAATCGTGCAATCGTGCGGGTAGCTCGACGCTTGACATGGCGTCTTACCTCTCCCGCTCTCCACTGCCAGGGCGATCAACCAGCCTGCGCTTCCTTCGAGCTGTCCAGCCCCTGCGCCTACATTGTCCCATCGCCAACCCGTTGCGAGACTTGTTCCACAATGCGGCCACCTGAATGGACGGGTGCCATAGGTGCGTCCCGCCGAGTGGCTTGCGGCTGGAGTCTTGGGTCTACTTTCCCAAGAACACTTTGCGCTGGTGCCCGAAATAAGCGCCAAAAGTCAGCCCTGCTGCACCGCGCCAAACGATGGACGAATAACCATCACCCCCAACGGCAACGTCTTCGAACGCGAGCGAGCCTGCGTCTCTGAATCGATAGCGAGCAGTTGTCAGACCTTAGCAATGTCTCGTGTCGCCAAATGGGCAGCGAGAGATGGAACAGCCCCCCCAGAGCCCCTGGATTTGTGCAGTGATCCTTGTTCTTTGGCGGCTTTCTATAATTGCACTTTCAGCTTAGCCCATCGCCACGCGCTGGGCTGCGGGTCCAGACGTTGCATCGCCCGGTACATAGATTGCTCTTGGCGATCCTTCTGAGCAGTTATTGTCCTTTTCCGCGCAGAATGTCCCCACGGTGTGCGGCATCCGGGCCCGCTGCGACCACTGGCACCCCTGCGATGTCATTTCTCCCAGGCCCAGGGCAACCATGCGCTCGCAGACCGTCGATTGAACAAAAACATTCCCCGTCCTCTTTTGCTGCTTGCAGCGGTACCCGGCGTCATCTGCCCGCCGTGCTCACCCACACCCCCCTTCTTTCGGCCTTGTTTCGACGACGACGACGACGACGACGACGATTATCCTCTGGCGACGAGAGGAACAACCTTCGTCGCACGATCGCTTCCACGATGGCGGAACTGGACTCCAATGCGTGGTATCGCCTATCGGAAACGCGCGTCGACAACAGCACCGGACCATTCGCTCTCAACCTCCAGCTTCGAGATGTCGGCCTCCGAGTGCATCCCGTAACCGACGGCACCGCGGCGTGGCAGTTTCAACCTTTTGGCGACGTCAAAGGCCGCTACCTCATGCGCCTCGACCAGGCGGGAGTCAAGCAGCAGCTGGGAGTCTGCTACGATGCGAAGGAACCGGCGACCGGGAACACCGTGGCCTGTCTGCAGGAGTCGTCAGTGGACGAGTCTCAGATTTGGGAGGTTTCGGCATGGGACGGGAAGACGGGGGAATACAAATTTGTCAACGTGGCCAACGGGACCGCCTACGTGCTCGACGTGCATCCGAAATCGAATCTATTCATGAACAGCAACATCGAGGGCTCGGCGAGCGCGACAGACACACAACCGGCTCAGCACTGGGTCATGACGAGCGTCAGCGCCGTCAACGACGGAGCATACTCGACAATCTATTCAGGGAATGTGGCTGTCAGCACGAACTCGGCGACACTATCCTCGACCACGACGACTACAACGACTACGAAATCTACAACCACATCAGGGCCCACAGCCACGGCTGCATCACAAACGGCCTCGACAGCAACCAGCACAGCTGTGGCGATACCAACGACGACGGGAATATCACCAGGGGCCGGAGCGGGAATTGGCGTAGGCGTCGCCATCGGTGTTGTCGGCTTGATCGGAGCCATTGCGTTCTTCTGGTGGCGGCGCAAGCAACCGAAGACTGCGCAATATAGCGAGGTCGAGCCAAAGCACGGCGGGAGTCTCGAGAGAGGGTCATCATCCATCGCTGGGTCTCCGGCCGTCGGAGGGTACGCGGCGCCGTACGGGGCGCATCCGGGAACAGGGAGCTACCCGTCATATAATCAAGGGTCATACAATCAAGGATCACCGGCGACGATGAGCTATCCCGTACCCCTCGATAGGGGGTCTCCCAATACCATGACCTACCCGATCCCTATGCACACGTCGTCGCCGTCGTCTGAGCCTAACCTATCCTCCTGGCACTACCCACAAACCGTGTCAACAAGCGCACTTGCCGTGCCTGCTACCGTGCCCCGTCACCAGTTCGACCATCCCGCTATCCACAACGAGTTCGCGCCGGCTGCGTCGAACCCTTCCTTTGAATCCACATCACGCTTCGGCTTTGCGTCAACTGCGGCGTCTTCCCAAGCCAACTCTACAACAAATCTAAACGACCCCGATCCGGTCCCTAGCGCACACGAGCTCGAGGTTGCCGTGCGAGACGTGCCGCGGCGACAGCACGAACTCGGCGAGTTTCACCACGGGCCCAATTTCGACCTTTCACAGCCGACGGCGACGACGACAGCGACGATAACGGCACCCTCGGCAGAGCTGAGCGCGTTCCAACACGGCCCGGATACCTTTACGCAGAGCCACGAGGCCAAGATGCTTGGGGTGCCCACCGCGGAGCTCGGCTCGCACCAGCACGGCCCCGATACCTTTGGCGACGGCCACGAAGACAAGATGCTCGGCGGCTTTCCGCCAGGGGCCGAGAAGTATCAGCCTGAGCGCGAGGACAAAGTGCTGGGTAACCTGCATGACCTGATGAGGCCGGTTGCGGGGCAGAGCGGTAGAGGTCGGCGGCCGGATGCCACAGAGGCCACGGAGTGGCAGTCGTACGAGATGCAGTCATTTCCGCCAAGGTGACGGCTGACAGCAGGAAGCGGCGATGAAGCATTGCCCGCAGCCACTCAACCGAATCAACACCGAGAGGGCCTCTAGGCGGAGCGGTCGACGTGGATGAACACAATGATACCCGAGTAACGAAAGGCCCGCCCTGCCTTTGCCTCACCCTTGCAGTTATCTTATGGCGGATCGCCAAACACATCTGCCGGTGCTATTTATCTGCACCTGACCATTATATCCGGCCGGAAAGTCCTCGAGCCCGAGAGAGAGTTCCATGTGCAACGTCACCAACGGAAAAGCATAGATCCTGGATTTGGACCTCGGATGAAGCTCACGAAGCCTGGAGGACGTCGGAAAGGACCGCCCGATCCTCAGCCGCACTATGGAGCGCGGGAAGGACACCCAGGGTCCACCGAGATGATGCACAAAATCCAAAGAGGGCCCAACAGCACAAATCAGGAGCCGGAACCCTGGAGATGGTTCGTCCGGGAGATCTTAGACCCCTGCGCCTAAACATTCCCCCCCTATCGGAAAGTGAATGTGAGTCCTGGGGAGAAGCACTCTGCCACCCTGGTGATGCCGGGACAGAGAGGCGTTGTTGAACGCCAAAATTCAATTGTACATAAAAAAGAAATCAACAGACTTAGAGTAGACTTCTAATCCATGAATAACGACGGCCAGAGTGCCCAATCATTTACAGATTTGTGTACTGGCGTCGTAGGACTGCCAACCATGGGTTGCTTCTTTCTGCCGCAGACAATGTGGATGCTCGAAGAGAGCCAGTGCCAGTGTCCTCTCTTTCCAGTCTGTCAGCTGCTGTGTGGAACGACTGCTCCGTCAGTCCCTCGAGTTCGACGATGATGGAGACGAACCCTACGCCGCAAGCTGCTTTTCCGAGGTGAGGTATGTAAATCTCTCCGGCCTCGCCCCTTCAACCCCCCCCCCCCCAATCTTTTGGAAAAGATGACGGAACAGTTTTGTTGACTGGTGCTTGTTGGAATCTCCAGAGTTCAAGAGCCCTGAGTCGAGGTAGCCAGCACGGCTGGACTTTCGACCTCGTCGGGGAGAAGAAAGGTCATGGCTCTTCACAGGTCGAGAAATCCAAAACGACGGCGTCAACCCGCGGAGGACAAGGACGAGAATGATGTCTCCATTAAACCCCGGAGATTTGGCCTCTCCTAACGATGAACGAGACTTACGAGCCAGCACACGAAGAGTCACGCTAGAGCAGATCTGAGTCGCCGAACGATGGATGCTTCTACGGTGAGGTACAGATCATCATGGGGACGGGAAGGGCAGCTTCTGGCTTCTTTCGACACGAACTTCTCGAGCGCAGTCTTCCGACGCAATGCGAGGTCTATCAACATCAGCGGAAAGCCAAAGGGCTTTTGGCGTTCCTGCTAAGCAGCCAAACACCGTACCCAGCGGCCACACCGGGATGCGCACTCAGAGGGTACGATCTTTCAAGCCGTCCCTGGAACAAGTCGTCCGCTGCCGTGTGAACTGATCTGTCAGCGCGGCTGCCGGGGCTAGACGAGGTGATGCCCGTATAATCACTGGGCACACTCCAAGAGGGTCGGGGCCACGGTCATCATCTTACCGGACGACAATCCTCTTCAACTACTCGCCTCTGGGCCAAGTTGACTCCCAGGTACGTTCACGTCCAAGAGGGCTTGAACGGCTCCTCTGCCAACTTACCTGGAAGCTGCGCGTGTGCGGAGTGAGCAGAGGAGAAGCCCGTACCGATGACTCCTGTCTCCTTCAGCTCGCCCATGCGAAGACAGAAAGGCTTGGATGGCATCTGATTCGCGGCCTCACCGAGCAGCTGAGCAGGCCATTCCCGAGAAGCCGCCGAAAACCTCACACAGTTCACAACAATCTATCGAATCAGCCATAGAGCCATTCATACTGATTTAGACGCGACATCACGGGACCGACGGCACTGCCACCGCACTCGGCATCGGACCGGACGCGGCCCCGGACCTCCATGCCCAACGGCGGCTGTGAGCCCACATAAGTGGAGGTCTCTCGGCACCGACTCTTATTCCCGTTCGAGTGTCGATAATCCCCGGATTTCGGCGAGGATGCAACGACACGCTGCTCGACGGCGTGCTATCGTCTCGGCCCGGGGATCAGAATCTCAGCCTGGCGTCCTGTAGCACATAGACAAGTCATTGTACAAGATGGCATTACCTCGGCTTCACAATCGTCAGCTAGGGGAGCCTCCGTCGGCTGATGGCTATGAAACACAACGTGCTCGTCAGGCAATAGAACCTCTCCGAGGCATCGAGGCTTGGAACGGCACAGCGATGATGCCCTCGGAATGGACAGTCACATGCCTCAAGCCGACGTCATCTTGATGATGTCGATTGCGAGGGCCTCTCGCGCGTTCAGCGAAAGATTGACATGCGGTAGCATTGGAAGATGCAAGTCATCGACCGCAACCAAGTCAATGTCGACTTTCCGAAGAACCAGTATGGATGGCCGTCGCGAGGGCGTTGGTCTATCAGAACAGAGCTGTCCGGGACGGGATGGTGCATTGCAGGTTCCTGACAAAACACCATTGCTTCCACATGTCATCCGAAGCGATGGCGGTGCATTTTGCATGTGGTTGACGCTGCCCACGGCTCACAGTGATACGCGGCCAGCAACATCCCTCGCAACGTGGACCGTATACCCCAACGCCCAGAGACATCTTGTCGCCCGCATACCCATGTGACGGCCCTCGAATTGGAGAAATCAAGCGAGCATAGAAACCAACCGGGTGAAGCAGGAACTGTGTAAGTCCATTGGTCTGCTCCATGGCCGATGTCGCTTCGCCGGCATGACTCCTGCACCGGAAAACTTGCACGATCGTCGATTCAAACCATCTGCCATTATGAGTAGACCGACACGAATTTTCCAATTGCGGGTTTGTGGGTTTTGCTGCCCTCACAGGCCACGATATACGACGCGAAGCATGAATTCCTCCTTGCATCCCTTGGGTGCTGGAAGCTATACGGACTAGCTTCTGCCTCTCGGGAGGAGTCGGAGACCCCGACACGCCCCCTCCGAGTATTTCCTCCGCCGTGGGGCATGATTGTCGTGGTGAGGGTTGGTGTGGGGGATCTGGACGAGGCTGTGGACGCACAAAACTCTAAGCGTCAGTACGACAATCCTATGGCGGACTCGGGCAATGTCCGAAAGCCTTTCCCCAGAGAGAGCTTGCTGCAGAGGAAGACCCAATCAGGGGCGGCAATCTCTAGATGATCTTGCATCTGGCGGCACCTCGTTGGTGCCCGAGAGATGGAGGCCGGGGTAGCATATCCATCATCCATGGGCTCCATGGCCATGGAGACGTCGACCGTCGACGAGCATCCAGCACAAAAAAAAATGGTTGGCGCGTCAGAGGAACCGGTTCCGAAATACGGAGACCAACGGAGCTTGTCGGAAGCGTGACAGCTCCAAAGTTGCATCGTGCGGGGTGCGACGCCCCCGTCTTTAGCTCCATGCGGGGCCGGGGAGGTTTGAGAGCTCTAGCCTCTAGCTCGAAAGAGCCGCCAGTGGAGCGGGCTAGCGACGCCGGGCCAGGTTCTGGAGGTGCGGGATGGCTGACATTTGCGCAAGACGGCAATCGTCCGCTGGCGGCTGGCCGGCGTTTACCCGCATCGACTCCAGTCCAACTCCACGAAAGACGTCCATCGAGAAAGAGAGGGTGAAACATGTCGATTTTGTCAGCAGCGTGTTGACGGTTCAACCGTGACGGTCAGATATGCAGAGCAAGATTGCCATTAGGTAATGTTAGGTAAGATATATTGCAGACGACGTCAGGTGCCTGGTCAGGTGCCCGGTGAACGGCCACGGTCCAAGCGGTGAGCCAGAGCCAAAGTGTTGGGTTAAGGTTGACGCGTCTGATCGTTGTTGACAAGAAGCTTGGCGGCGTTTGTCCAGACGCCAAGGTTGCCAAGGCGAGAGCAGGATCGCGGGTGAAGAAGGTTGTCTCAGCACGTGTGGGAAGTCTGGGGAATCAAGATAAGCTGTTGCAACTCCGTAAACTGCTACGGTGTCTCGGGGATTGAGCGATGCTGCTGTTGACGATGAACGGCGGTCCAAATTCGGTGTTGTCTAGAGTTCACCAAGTCGCCAAAGTCAAAGTGCGTGGAGGGCGAAAAAGTCCCGACTTCAAACCTTGAAATCACCAACCTCAACGACATCACCGGACGGACCCCAGGACGCCCCGGCCATCGCCTAGCTCGCGATGCAGAGACCGAAGCTGACATGGCGCCGAGACGAACGCCATGCGCAATCGCAAGTACCGTGAACTTGGTCCACCAGCGGCAGGCATTGCAACCTGACGTCCATTTAACGTGGTTTCGTCTGAAGTTTCGATCTCAAGTACCATTAACAACAGACCCTGTCTTGCCCAGTGGACGGTGGCAGCAACCCTCGGGCATGACTTGTTGTGCGTGCTTCAAAACGGCCGAAACTGTGATTTGCAAGCAGAGTCGTGTTTGAGACGGGTGGGGGACGGGCGTCGAGAGGAGAGACTAGACTGGACGCGTGGAAGTCCTTGTTTCAATCCGCAGAAGATCCTCATCGAGTGTGATGAACGGCCAGGAGAGGGGGAATCCAGTCGAGTCTCAGCGAGGAGAGGGAAACTTGTGAAGTCGGGAGGGAGCCACGCCCACGACCAGGGGGTGAAAAGTTTTGGAGCCAGGCCTGGCATTCGGTACCGGTGGGTCTGCCGTCAGCGTGCGGTGTGGGTTCGCCTTGTTGTGGCTTGCCGCTAAGCGGAACCCCTGTGGAGGGATCGGGCAAAGTCGGGAGCTCGTCGTGTCTGAGGCTTGTAGGGACTCAGGGAGAGTCATGCTCGGTATGTAGTCGACGGTGTCGTTGTCAATGTGTTGTTCGCTTTGCTTATCTTGCTTAGTTGGAGATTTGGGGGCTGCGGTCCACCTCGCTCACGGGATGGTGGGAAGATGATGGGCAGCAAACGGCGCCGTATCGGGCGTTGAACACGAGTTCAGACCGCGGCATATCGCAGTACGTTCCGCGAGGGGCTTGATTCTGACGTGCTCCAGCACTTGATAGGGCGGGATATCGCCTGATGAATCTTTAACCCGATATCCCGCCGACTGCCCTCCGTCATTTCGTATCCATTGGGAGATTTCGCGAGCGTCGTCTATTCAGGTCTGGGTCTTCAGTCATATTCCAGAAGGGGACCCGGAATTTGCCAAGGGGCGAAAAGTACCTGCAGGCACGGCAGCGTCGCATTAAAGACTGCATGGGTTTGGATTCCGACGGCCGACCCGGCCAAGTGCCTAGTGTAGAGCTTGTGGAAGCCTGGAAGGCCCGGAGGCTCGCCCAGAGTGCAACACACTCCCTCGATGCTCACAGACTGGAGGACAACGGTTCGGGACGCTGTGACAGAGACTAGCCGGAAGAGGAGGCTGGCCAACAAATGTGACGGCCGTCATTGGCCGACGATTGAAGATATCCCCCGTCGTTCTTGGTTCCTTCGTTTCAATAGTAGTTGTTGATTTGTTAGACTTTGGACATTGCGTTGGCCGGCCGAGCCCCTGGTTTTTGCTTTTCACCAAGCAATAGTGCGACGGACAAGATGGAAAGATGGAACGAAGACACTGTTGGCGTCCACGGGTCGGGGGCATGGGGGCGTCCTTTTGCAAAGCTTCGTTCGTTCCTTGTGAGCACGTCAGCGAAACGGATGGAGAATGCGACGTGCGAGGCATTGGCCAGGCTGGAGTGTCGCGTGCGCACAGAAAGAGCAGTTCGTAGTCTGTACGAATACTGCGTACGGACAGAGGCCGTAGCGGTCCCGGGGACCGTCGGAGGGCGGATTCGAGATTGTAGGTTGGAGGAGGCCCGGACGGGTGCTTGCTAGGTACAGCTAGCGTCGGCGAGATGTCCGGCCGGTGATGGAGAAGGAGGAAGTTCTATGGACCATGGATTCCAACTTGGACGGTTCCACCTCGCGAGGGAAGCCCAAGTGGATGTTCTCCTGTTCTTCCGGTGGAGTTGGCTCAAGGGTCGACGTCTTTGGGTGTGAGGGGGGCAGGCCGCAGGCGGGAATGGGATGCAGGTGCAAGTGCAGCAAGGCTTGACAGGGTCGAGGGCTCGAGTGCGACGACAACGTACATTGGGCTGCATGGCTGACGACTTTTTGGGGGGTTGAAAGTGCCGACGGTTGACACATTGTGCCGTATTTGTCGGGGATTTCTGGTGTTTGTGCCGACGTCGCACCTCTTTCTTCTCACCGGTTGGAGGATTCTGGAGAGGCGGGAGGGATCAGACATCCCAACAAAAAGAGGTCCTTTGGGGTACAGCAGGCAGGCCGCAGTACAGCTTAGCCGCAGCTAGGTGAAGCTTGGGTGCGTCTAGGTGCCGTGGATGATGACTGTACGTAAGACGTCTGCACAAGAGGCCGTGGACGTCTCTGCGGGCGTCTGAGCCTTTGGATCCTGTGTCGACTTTGGAGAGTTGCCGTGTCTCACTGGGGCGGAAGAGTCGATGGGCATTGGGACCAGGGCGCAAGGGGAGACGACGGTCGCTAGGTCAGGGGACGAAAAAATAAGATAAAAAATCGTGGTAAACCAAACAGAGAAAAGAATGTGGAGTGACCCAAGCACGAGAAAGCCGTAAACAATCATGGTCGGGGGGGCAGGGCCGATTGGCAGCGACGATGACTCCGCGAAATGTCGTTTTTCTGCGCATGTTCCATTCTTTGATTTGGTGAGATTCAGCGCGCCATTTTCAAAGATGCCTGGGTGGTTGTCCTATGACTCTGCATCGTCAATGAGCATGGCAGGACCGATCCCGTGGTCGGAGCTGCCTTCCGTGAATCAAGTGTAGAAATAAAATAGCAGGAGCACCTGGGCACGTAGGAAGCCACGCACTTGCCCTGCTTCACTTTGAGGTAGACTTCCATTTGCTTCTTTCTTTCTGAAGCTTCGTCCATCGACGACCATCCAGGGGAAACATCACCCAATGTGAGCTTTACGAGACCGAACTGGATCAATTGCATCGCTCGGAAAGAAACACCACTCCACGCACATCGACACGGATAGCCCGACTCCACTCGCCGCCGGACAGACTGCCGCTGCGCCGCTGGCAACTTGCTTGGGCTGACATCCCACGCCTCCCACGCTCACTTTCACGCCCACGAACACCCTCCCACGTCGACGAAGCGAAGCGAAGCTAAATCGTCCGCATTCCGTCAGCTCACCTTATCCGCCGTGTGCACTATTTCGAGTGACGGACAGCAGACCATCTCCACTGCAGCTCGTTTCCCAGGTAGGCAGGCCCCTTTCCCGGTCCTTCGTCAGCTTCCATGCCTGCTCCATCTGGCATCGCGGCACCCAAATGCAAAGACCAAGATAGCATCAAGCTTCTGCGCAATCTACGCCATTGTGAGCTGACGGAAACGGGCCGTCCACAAGCACCACTGTGTTGTTCTCTAGGCTAATTTTCGGTTTGCTACGCAGAAGTGAGAATCACCTCCTGAGTCTTGGACCTCGTACTTCGTCTCCGGATACATCGTCCCGGCGTCACCACCTCTTCACCTTGCCGCCTCCCGTCGCCTCACCGACGCCCCTCTCGGCCCTCGTACACGCCCCGTCCTTGTGTCGCCTAGAGCTTCCTGTGTACTCCGTACGGAGAACCTGACGAGGTACCCAGTTACCCCAACTTGAAAATTTTCATCGGCCTTCTCCAACTCTGCGAATTCAGCCAGAATTGGGCACGAATTCGGAAAAAAACGACCATCAACAAGAAAGGAAAAAAAAAAAAAAAGAAATTGCCAATTCCTAGGATCGGGTCTGGCTTCCGTCTTCTCCCACCCTCCACACCAACACCCCCGTCTCAACCCTTAACCACCCCGGTCGTCGACGGACCCTCGTCGCCCCCGTTATTCAACCACCCTGGTCTCCCGGCTCCACGCCGCACACCCTGCCACGACCTGCAGCGAACCCTCTGCACAATCGACCCCGATTCGGGTGCCAGTCTCCCTACTCTGTCGTCTGTGTACGGATACGCCTGGGCGGAAACCTTGGAAGCACATCATACAGTTGGATTCGAATCAAAGCTTGGAGCTCCAGCGCACGATCGACCTGCTACGTAGTCCGCACACCACAACGCACAGTCACAGAGCACTCCCTTGTCCCGCCATCCCATCTTCTGCGCCGTCCCATCCCTCCATCGCTTTCCCAATTCTCGTTCCTCGTCCGCCCGTCTCCCGTCCCCCGTCTCCAGGCTTCGCTCGTCCGTCGTCCAGGCAAGTACCCGGTACCTCGACGCCTCTGCCGGCGCCTGGCCTTGCTGCCATCCCTCCTTTGTGAAACTGCCTTGAAACCCCCTTCTCCCTATCATTCTCAGATCCTCCGTGGCCATGGGTCTAAGTCGCTGTACCTGGCCGGGCAAACCTCCATCGAGGACCGGACCAGTTCACAAGGTTTTAAACCGACTTTTCCTCGTCCGCGATCCAGTTGCAGGGAACACAACGCCCTTCCCCTCTGTTGGTCCATCCAATGCAACTCTTGCGACTCCACGCTCTCACCATACTCTAAATTGCCTTCCTGCGCCTTCTCCGAAAGCTGGTCTCTTGCTGCGTCCTCCTCATCAACGACTAATATCACGTTCCGGCCGGTCCCATTACACCACACGCACCACACGCACCACTACCCATCACGCTCGTCTGCTTCGCCTCGGAGCTCCAACAACTACTAATTGCCTCGTTCCGTCGCCCACTCCCGCCTCCTCTTTCTTCTCCGCATCTCTCCCACCGACACATGCGCCGGTAATGTCAATGGCGTCGTATCCCTTCAGTTCAGCCAGCTCCTCAGACATCTCTACGCCCCGGTCCTCCTCGCCTTCGCCATCGTCCGTCGCCTCTGCCCGCTCCTCTCGCTCCTCTATATCTAACAAGCGCATGTCCATGTCCAGTCGCAGAATGACAGACTTCAACCCCATGTCTTCCGTCGACATCTCCGTCATTGAAGACAAGATGAGAATGGCCTCCCTCGACCAGCACCGTGGCTACTCCCAGAACACCTTTGGCGAGGTTCAGCAATACCGCAACACGGAATACGTGCCCAAGACCCAGGCCACCGCTTTCCAGATCCTGCGCGAGCCCCTCTGGAACAAAGGTGAGTTGATGGCAGCTGCCGCTTCCCCCACTTACACCGTCTGTCCGCGTCCGCACTGAACCTTACTGCACCTGCACGCACCGGCTTCCCCCAACATGGCGTATCCCTTCAGTTTGCACCCTTCTATATAGCCTCCCTCTTTTTTCCTCCCACAACATCCCCAACTCCTCGCTCCATCCCCTCCCATGGCTTCTTCACTCACTGGGCGCGCTCGTCGTCTTCCCTCACCACTTCCTCGCCTGCTCAATCCTCTGCCTCGTGCTCCCATCCACTCCTCCTCCAAACTAACCGCCATGGTCGAATCAGGTCTCTCCTTCACGCCCGAAGAGCGCGTCACCAGAAACCTCACCGGCCTTATCCCTCACACCATGGAGAGCCTCCAGACGCAATGCCAGCGGGCCATGAAGATGATCAACACCCGCCAGACCGACGTCGACAAGTACCTCTACCTGTCCTCGCTCAAGGCCCAAAACTTTGACCTCTTCTACCGCCTGCTCATTGACAACGTCCGCGAGCTCATGCCCTTGGTCTACACCCCCACCATTGGCGATGTCTGCCTGCAATACTCTACCCTCTACACCCGCCCGGAGGCTCTGTACATTTCGATCAAGCAGCGAAAGTCCATCCGCACCATGCTCCGCAACTGGCCCTACCCCAACCCCCAGATCTGCGTCGTCACCGACGGTTCCCGCATTCTGGGTCTTGGTGACCTCGGTGTCAACGGTGTCGGTATCTCTGTAGGTCTGCCGTCCCTCCATACCTGACAACACTAACAACCACAGATTGGCAAGCTCGCTCTGTACACTGGTGCCGCCGGTATCCATCCCGAAAACACCCTGCCTATTGTCCTCGACACCGGCACCAACAACGAGACCAACCTCAAGGACCCCTTCTACCTGGGCATCCGCTCTAAGCGCGTGTCCGTCGCCGAGCAGCAGGCATTCATGGACGAGTTCATGGAGGCCGTCACCGAGGTCTACCCCGAGATGACTGTCCAGTTCGAAGACTTTGAGTCCGAAAAGGCCTTCAACTACCTCGACCGCTACCGCGATAAGTACCGCTGTTTCAACGACGATATCCAGGGAACTGGTGCCGTCGTCCTCGCTGGTTACATCAACGCCGTCGAGCTCTCTGGCGTTCCCCTCGAGGAGCAGCGCCTGGTTTTCATGGGCGCCGGTTCCGCCGGTGTCGGTGTCGCCAAGCAGCTCGTCGAGTACTACACCAAGCGTGGCCTCAGCGAGCAGGTCGCCAGGGACAAGTTCTGGCTGGTCGACACCAAGGGTCTCGTCACCAAGGACCGCGGTGACAAGCTCGCCGAGCACAAGAAGTACTTTGCCCGCACCGACAACAACGGCCACCAATTCCGCACCCTCGAGGAGGTGATTGAGTACGTCAAGCCCACCGCTCTCGTCGGTCTCACCGCCACCTTTGGTGTCTTCACCGAGTCCGTCGTTCGCGCCCTCAAGGCCTCTGTCGACTCTGGCGGTCTTGGCCGCCGCCCCGTCCTCTTCCCCCTCAGCAACCCCCTCACCAAGGCCGAGTGCACTTTCGAGCAGGCCGTCCAGTGGACCGACGGCACCGTCATCTTCGCCTCCGGCTCCCCCTTCTCCCCCTTCACCATGAAGAGCCCCGACGGCCAGGCCATTACCTACCACCCCAACCAGGGCAACAACGTCTACGTCTTCCCCGGTCTCGGTCTCGGTGCCATCCTCGCCAAGGCCTCCAAGGTCACCGACGACATGGTCTACACCTCGGCTGCCGCTCTCGCCGCGTCCCTCAACGTTGAC